GACAAAATCACCTTTCCTGGATAGCATTGTAGCTTGGTATAGACGCTAGGATCCAAAGCCAGGGTTTGAAGTCCAGGAAGGGCTTGCTTTGGAGCTATCTCCCTGTCCCTCGCATCGAGGCTTTTAGATACGAGAGGACTGTGAGACAAAAATCAAGGTCTGTAGGAGCCAGAGCCATGGTACACCTGCTAGAGCACGTGACTGCCCTGGGTTCGATCCCCGGCACCCCTTAAGGTCCCATGAGCCTGACAGAAGTGATCCCTGTGAACAGAGCCAGAACCCAGTCCTGAGCACCTCTGGGTGTGGTCCCAAAAGCAATAAAGAAGTCAATCAAGGTCTGCAACCAAGTGACATGGACAACTTTAGAGGTGTTGGGAGAGGACCTGCTTGCAGGTGTGACCTTGGACTCAGGCCTGAAAGGGGAGAAGGTCTTGAAAGAATCTGGTCCCAGGGGCTGGAGAGAGAGCACAGTGGGTAAGGCGTTTACTTTGCACACAGCCGACCTGGGATCGATTTCCAGCATCTCATATGGTCCCCTGAGCACCGCCAGGAGTAACGCCTGAGTGCAGAGCCAGAAGTAACCCCTGTGCATCGCCAGGTGTGACCCAAAAAGAAAAAAGAAAAGAATCTGGTCCCAGCAGAAGGCCCAGATGGAACCTTCCTGCAGTGGAAATCTGTGCTGTTTAGAATGGCAGGCGTACAAGGAAGAAAGGGAGGCTGGGGACATGGGTTGGAAGCAGGGTCTAGACCGAATTTCATTCTGAGGTGGTTGGGAAGGCGTCGGCCTCAAACTTTCCAGGAAAGAATCTGACTGTCCTTGTGCTTCTCCACATAGCAGGGAGGAAATGGGAAATGGGTCAAGCTCTGGCATGAGGGCCTTTCCTCAGGATCAATGTTTGGGACAAAGTTTCACCATCTGCATTATCTGACCGAGTTCCTGTCCAACTAGACGCTTTCCTATCGGAACCCCCTGTCCCTGGACGACAACCTTAGTCTGGGGAAGAGTCTTTACTGATGGAATTCATTCCAGGACATCCAAGTGAGCTCATCCAGGTTTACCTGTATCACTGTTATCACTGTTCACTGCCATCCCATTGTTCATCAATTCACTCAAGCGGGTGCTAGTAACATCTCCATTGGTCCCTGTCACATGCTAGTGTAGCCCAATGGCATATTGGGGGCTCTTTCAGGGTCAGGGGAATGAGGACCATCATTGTTAACTGTGTTTGGCATATCGAGTACGCCACGGGGAGCTTGCCAGGCTCTGCTGTGCAGGCGGGATACTCTTGGTAGCTTGCTGAGCTCTCCAAGAGGGACGGGCGTTCCAGGAAATATTGCCTGGTTTACCTGGGATTGTCAAATCCTCCCAGAACAGTGAGCTGTTCTGATTGGAGTGAAGCAGAGGGAACTCAGAGCCATGGTGGCGGAGGAGATTGGGGGAGACACCCCACAAAGACAGGGGCAGACACGTGATGCAGGCCACTAACTTTGTGGTAATGTGTCCTGCCTAGAAACATCTTGAAGTCTACTTCAAGTCTCCTGCAGCTCCCCAAGAGCCTGGACACAGACCTGGCCCCACCCCAAACTGGCTGCACCCCTGCTGGCACTCCCGGATTCCATACGGCATCTGACTGATTTACTCACTGGCCCTAGCCCTCAGGCTTACAAATGAACCAAGCCTGCTCTCTGCTTCCCCCAAAGAGTTCTCAGTTCTGGGGCCTTCAGACAGACACACAGATCAATGAGCGCAGGGAGAGAGGAAGAGTCGGAAGTCTGGAGAGTCATGGGAAAGGATAAAAGCTGCTAGCAGGGGCTGGAGCGATAGCACAGTGGGTACGGCGTTTGCCTTGCATGTGACGGGCCTGGGTTCAATTCCCAGCATCCTATATGGTCCCCTGAGCACCGCTAGGCGTAATTCCTGAGTGCAGAGCCAGAAGGAACCCCTGAGCATCGCCAGGTGTGACCCAAAAAGCAAAAAAAAGAAAAAGAGAAAAACCTGCTAGCCACAGGGTCAAGATGCATAGGTAAGTAAGCCCTGAGCACCTCCAGGTAAGGCCTTAAAAACAAAGCAAAAACCAAACCCAAACAAAAAGTTCAAACAACCAAAAAAACATTAAAAACAACCTGCTAGCTGGCTTCTTAGGGTGGGCTGCCAAACTTTCCACAACTCTGGGCGATTGTCAATATCCTCTCCCTTGGACAGTCCATTGAGAAGCTCTCTCTAGTGAGTTTCACCTCTTCCACACAGAATTCATTCACCATCCCATCTGCTGTTATTTGGAGACAGAGTGCAGTGACGCTAATATTTCTTGATCGACTATACTAAAACATTGGGCTGGAGTGATAGCACAGCGGGTAGGGCGTTTGCCTTGCACGTGGCCGACCCGGGTTCGATTCCTTCATCCCTCTCGGAGAGCCTGGCAAGCTACCGAGAGTATCCCGCTCGCATGGTAGAGCCTGGCAAGCTTCCCGTGGCGTATTCAGATATGCCAAAAACAGTAACAAGAAGTCTCACAATGAAGACGTCACTGGTGCCCGCTCGAGCAAATTGATGAACGACGGGAGGACAGTGCAACAGTGGTACTCTACTAAAATATTATAGAGGCAGAGCGGTAGTTCAAAGGTCAGGACTATGTGCCTTGTATGCACGAGGACCTGTGTTTGATTCCCAGAACCACATCATCTTCTATCCCCTGCAGTGCCTCTGGGGATAGCACCAGGGGCCCCTGAGAGACACTGGCAATGCCAGTAGTCCTGGTGGTCCCCCCAAATGCTGAGCCACACCTCACCAGGTCCTAATGTTAAACAACGACCAACTTAGCCAAGTACCACTAGGACTCCCTGCCACCCCTGAGCACCACTAAGGAGCCCCTCCCTCAAATAAGTTTTACGTCCTTTCAGTCTTCACACCACCTCTATGAGGCAGCAACGGTCTTTTGGTCCTTATTTTACAAAGGAGGGAATGGACGGAGGCAGAGAGAGATTACGTGTGTGGCCCAAAGTTGCACCGCTAGTATTAATAGTTGGAATTTGGACCCAGGTAGCCTGGCTCCAAAGCAAGTCTTCCCCGGACTTAAACCCTGGCTTTGCACCCTGGCTTCCACACTAATACACTGCTACTCTGGACAGGTGATTGTGGCTCCTGGTGACTCAGTTTCCTCCCTCATAAAATGGGAACATTAACAGAGCTAACAGTGTAGTGATATTGTATAAGTGAAATGAGAATATATCCTTAGAATGCCTGGCGGTGTGTACTGCAAGAATTCAAGGAATAAACTGGAACTTAATGAATAACTGTAGGATGTAGCTTTTGCCATTTTATAAGCGATAGCACAGCGGTAGGGTGTTTGCCTTGCACACAGCTGGCCGGCAGAGCCAGGTTCGATTCCTCCGCCCCTCTTGGAGAGCCCGGCAAGCTACTGAGAGTATCTCGCTTACATGGCAAAGCCTGGCAAGCTCCCCATGACGTATTCGATATGCCAAACACAGTAACAACAAAATCTCCAATGGAAATGTTACTGGGCCCGCTCGAGCAAATTGATGAACAACGGGAGGACAGTGCTACAGTAATTTATTTATTTTGGTTTTGGGGCCAGAACTATTGGCGCTGAGGGCTTACCTCTGGCTCTGTGCTAAGGGATCACTCCTGGCAGGGCATGACAGACCGTATGCAGTGCCAGATAGATTGAACTGGAGTCAGCCACATGCAAGGCAAATGCCTTCATCATTCTTCGACTTTTCTGGCCCTGCTAAGTTACTGTTTTGAACAAGTTGAGATGGAAACAGGGGACACAGAGAATTAGGTCCTCTGTGCTCTCTGACCCCATGAGTTCATGCTCTCTGTTTAATGTGCCAGAGAGAAATGGGGGCTTACTAGAGCCACAGGCAGGCAGGCACCCCCTGCCTTCCCCTTCATGTTTCAAGGATCAGGTATAGAATTAGCTGCGGCTATTGGTTAAAAGAAAAGAAAAATACAGGTTCCTGATAGTGAGTCTTTGGTAGGTGGGCCCAGAAAACTGCAGCGTTCAACACCCTAACGCAGCCTGTACTTCACGCTCCCTCCAAGCCCATCCTGAGTTGTCCTTGATCACTCTGGAAAACGCAGAAAACGATTCCAGAGCCTACTCCCTTTATTCCTGCAGGGAACAAAATCGGAAATTTCAAATGGGCTTCTTGCAATATCAGACGAGAACAGCTCACTCGGAGAGCGGTGGGCCTGCACCCGGAGGGGCGGTACAGTGGGTAGGGCACTGATTGCTTGCACATATGTGGCTGGCCAGGGTTCCATCCCTGGCTCCCCATATGGGGACCCGAGCCCGCCGGGAAGTGATCCCTGAGTGCAGAGCCAGGAGTGAGCCCTGAGCATCACCAGGTGTGACCTTAAAACAAAAACCAAAACTGAAGAGCAAGTGGGCTTGCCCTGGCCAGCAGACTGGAGAATCAAGTTTGCCGATTCATGAAAAATGGGTGGACAGGATCAGGCCCTCAAGCCCATTGTTCCGGTTCGGATCACTGAGGCCAAGAGCCCGGTGCTGCCGAAGGTTTTGGATGGCTTCAAGGTCAACCAGTGCCTCAATCACGCGGATCGGGACTCGAACTCCGCTCCGCGGTGGGGGGGAGGAGGAAAACCACGTGCTGTGGGCGGGGCGCCCCGGGGTCGCCTAGGCAACGGCTCCCGCCACGCCCATCCGGGAGCCGCGCGGGGAGGCGCGAGCGAGCGCGGTCCCAGCTCTCGCGGGGCTGCGTCCGCTTCCCGCCCCGCCTCCCTGCGGCCCCGCCCCGCGGAAGTGCCCGCGGAGGCCGCTCGGGCGCTGATTGGCCGTCGCGGCGTGGGGGGCGGAGCCCGCCGCGGAGCGGTGCGTATTTCCGGCTGCCGGCTTGACATGAAGAAGCAACGGCTGCTCGGGCGGCGGTAGCGGCGCGCGGGTTCGGCTGGCGGCGGCGGGTCTCGGGGCCGAGCGCTCGTCTCGACGCGGCCTAGGGCGGCAGCCGCGCGGCACTGCCGGGGGGCGCCGCGGAGGGGGGCGCAGCAGCCGGGCCGAGCTCGCCGCCATGGAGATGGAGAAGGAGTTCGAGCAGATCGACCGGGCCGGGAGCTGGGCGGCCATTTACCAGGTGCGGGAGCGCCCCGGAGCGCGTCGGGGCCGTCGGCTTAGGCCGCGCGTCGCGTCTCCTCAGAGCCGGGCCGGGCCGGGCCGCGGGGGCGCGCAGCGTCTCCTCAGAGCGGGGCCCGGCCGTGCCTCAGGGGCGCTCAGCGTCTCCTCAGCCGGGCCCGGCCGTGCCTCAGGGCGCTCAGCGTCTCCTCAGAGCGGGCCGGGCCGTGCCTCAGGGGCGCTCAGCGTCTCCTCAGAGCGGGGCCCGGCCGTGCCTCAGGGGCGCGTTCTGTCTGTCTCCTCAGAGCTGGACCCGCCGTGCTTCAGGCGCGCAGCTTCTCCTCAGCCGGTCCGGGCCGTGCCTCAGGGGCGCGCAGCGTCTCCTCAGAGCCGGATCAGCCGTGCCTCAGGGGCGCGTCGCGTCTCCTCAGCCCGGCCCGGCCGTGCCTCAGGGGGCGCGTCGCGCACCTCGGGCCTGCACCCGGGGCCGCCCGCCCCTTCCCCGGCGCAACGCCTTTGTCCGGCGGGTGGGCCTCGCACCCCGCGCGCCCGCCCCCCACCCCCACCGGCCGGCCTCGCCTCCCTTTGTCCCCGGGGGTCGCCGCTTCCTTTCCTCGAGGACCACCCCAGGCAGCGCGGAGGCTCCCTTTGTCTCCCAGGAGGAAAGGGTCGCCCCCCACCCCCACCCCCACCCCCGCTTGCGACGACGCTTCCTCTCCCCGCCGTCGCGCGAGCGTGACAGTCCCCGTCCCCCTTCCTGTTCATTCATTGAACGGCCCCGCGTCGGCGCCGCTTGGGGCCACGGTGGGGGTGGGGGTGGGGGGGGGTCGTGGCGTCCGGACTGGACCGGACCGGACCCCACCCCCGCCCGGTCCCTGCGGGGCGCCCCGGGCTCGCGTGGGTGGGCGGGTGGGTGGGCTCCCGCGGTGTGAGGGGGCCGAGGACCGCGGTGCGACCCCCAGCCGGCATCGCCCTTCGCCTGGCCCTGGTGCCTGAGCGCTCGGGACCCCCAGCTGCAGCGTGAGCGCGACCCCCGGGGTTGCCCACCCGGGGAGGACGGACGGACGCGCGCTCCCCGGGGCAGTGTCCGCGCGGGTTTGCGGGCATCGGCTGGCCGCAGCCGCACCCGGGTGGAGGGGGCTCCTCCGAGGCGCCCCCTGAGTCCCGCAGCTGGTGGCGTTCAAGGTCTGTTCTGAGCCCCCCCTTGCAAAGAGCCTCGGCAGCTCTTTGGTAGATGCTTGACTAACAAAAGCCTCTCGGCGGGCCGGCCCGGGTGCTGGGGGCTTCCCCGGCTGGCTGGGGGGCTTCGATCCCCGGGGCCGCAGTGCCTGGCGGTGTGGCCGGTGATCGCACCCTGGCAGCTTTCTGTCCGCCTTCTGTCACCGGTGCCTCCGCCTCCGCCTCGGCCGAGGGACCCCAGGGGTGACCCGGAGCCCATCCTGAGGCTGGTCGCGCTCACGCTGCAGCCCGGGGATCCCAGCAGGGGCGGCCCCCCGGGAGGGAGCGCCTTTTCCTAAGGGAGCGGAGCTGGCGACGACATTCATTCGTTCACAGTTCTTGGTTGAATTTGATTTTTCTTTCTGATTTAGACCAGAAGTGTCCCCGAGTGAGCCCAGCGCAGGGAAAATGTAGTCAGCTGTCACCCACAGGGAGCTCGTTTGTACCCCCCCCCCCTTTTTTTTTTCTTCCTCCTTCTTTGGTTCTTTGGGTCTTGGGAGTGTGATTGACTCCCAAGAATTAGGCCAGATGGCTGCACGCAGTGTGAGTGGATTTCCACATTTTTGGAGGTGATTGCTTTAGAGCTCAAGAGAATTGTGCCCCGGGACTTTCTTATGTGCACCTTACCGGTAGTTTTCTTTCCTAACATTGAAATCAGAAGCACTTTTTCTTTTAAGTTTATAAAGTGGCTTTGTATTAGTCAACTGAGGCATTGAAAAAAAACACCGGAGTTTGAATGACTTGAGTGTAATGTGGCCAATTTTCCACAGTGTGTCAGTTTACCAAAACCACTGTTTTTCAAGAATTCACAGAAATGTGTTTGTTTATAGTGGGTAGGAAATGAACCTCAAAAAAGCTAATCCTTTATAGCATGTCACAAGAAGTGAGTACTTTACACAAAGTCATCTTGTGATGAATACTGTGATTACAAAAATAATGTACAATTTTTGTTTAAAATGTGTAACATGGTAGTGCAGTTATTTCTTACTGTACTGACTTCTAACAGGAACAGACAGATGCACAAGCTAGGGAACAGTTGGGAAAAGAAGTAGACTTTTGAGTGCTGAGGAGTGTGGTCCCTTAAAGAAAAGTATCAGCCAAAGATTCTGCCAGCTCAAGTGATAGTGTTTTTAAGGATTGATATTAATAAACAGCACGGATATCAAAAAACATTTTTCCCCCTCTTTGGTTTTTGGCCATACCCAGTGGTGCTCAGGGGTTTATCCCTGACTCTGCGCTCAGGGATCAGTCTTGACAGTGCTGGAGGACCGTAGAGGATGCCTGGGCTAGAACCTGGGTTGGCCATGTGCAAAGCAAATCCCCCCGAACCATTCAGGACTATACAACGTCTGCTTTAGGTGATAGAGACAGATGACTTTAAAAAGTGTTTTCTGTCGTTTAAACAGTTGTGCTGTCTGGTTTGAGAAGTAAGAAATACTTAGTCTGGAGTTTGGAATTAATTCCTGACTGTTCCGAAGGGGAGGGAGAGGGAACAAAGCACAGAAGAATTGGTTTTTGGAGCTAGAACGGAAGAAGAGTTAGTGGGCCTGAATGAGGGAGAGTAATTGGCACGTACCCTCCATCAGGATTGGGGTTTGATCTTTTGCTGTGTCTCTGACTCTTAAGTTCTTTTGATTTCTCTGACATTTCAATATGTGTCAGTGTGGATGGCTTGGTTGTTTCAGATCAAGAGATTGCAACACTGGCTTGTGAGTTGAAGGCAAGATTTATTCCATGTTCGAGGCAGGCTTTGTGAAATGAACCACTCTTCCAAATTGACATTTGTTTTTATAGCTGCTTTCATGATGAAATACGATCTGATGCCTGATATGGTTACAAGCCATGTTCACTGTAGTTCACTAAAATCTCTCACTACCATATACTGCTTATGCTGTTGGAGCTCAGGAAGGAGAAAATGAACGTTTCCCTATTATTTTCGTCCAGTATCATCCTCTGCATTTTGAGTAGCAGAATCCAGACCTATACACTGTGACTCAGATTATTGGGGTGGGGGTGGGTGGCGAAAATGGGAAATGGCATAGAGAGATTGGGAAGTTCGGGTCATCCTGAGTGCACCCAGTCTGTTGGGGTGTTCTTCTTTAGCCTTGGTTCAAAGGAACTAAATTTAGGTGTCTGGTCACCACTTTGGAAATGGTTTAAAGACTTGTAATTGTTTGTACTCAAATTACCTGGGAGCACAAGTAGAAGTAGTGGCAGGAAGATAGTTTTGGGTTACACCAGGAGGTGCTGGGATGGGGAACTCCCAGAAGGTGTTCGGGCTTGGGGGAGAAGGGAATTGAACTGGGGACCTCCTGGATGCAAAGCAGGGACTCAGTTCTTGAAAGTTCCTCAGCAACCCCATGAGGAGGAATTTTTGCCATTGGTGTTTGTTTGACATCCCTGGCATATTTATAGGAATGCTTTGGGACTTTTAGATGTAAATAAAACCTTATCAGATGGGCTTTATGGCCTCTGTCTTGCCCTTTTCTTTTTAGTAACAATGTTCCCCCTCTCACCCCCCAAAATTGATCACAGTAACCGATATTGAATAATGAAATTAGTGTGTCCTGATGATCATCTTGATTGCAATGAATCAGAAATTTTCTGCTAAAGTACCAATTTCTTTCTCTTCCTTTTGCTTTTCCCCTAATTTTTGAGCTGTTCTTCATGATGACCGGAAGCTGTCCTTTTGGATGACAGGATCTTTATTTGGCAGTTTGAGACCGAGTTGTGCTTTGAATTGCAGGTACTTTCTCGAGGCCTTTCTGAGCACATTTTGCACAGTCTGACTTGCCTCCCCTCAGAGTCTATGTAAATTAATATGTAAATTAATTGGGTTACCAATTAGTCCTGACAAATGGGCAGGGGCCTCTTTCTTTCTCCTATCCCCCCTTAATGACAATGAATGGGAAATCGGCTGGGCCCTTGTTTCTGAGACTGAGAAATGTGGCACCAGTCTCTTTGCAAAGAACACTTCTGAGTATCCACAGTGGTAGGAATTTGAGAAGTTGCTCTGGTTTGCCTCCACCTCGTGTCACTAATGGATATCATCAGAGCCCACTTCAGAGCCCCAGTTCTTCAATTTTGCCTGTAATGTTGCTCTTGGTTTTAGTTGCACGCTAGAAAATGAATGAACCAGGGACTGGAGAGATAGCACAGCGAGTAGGGCGTTTGCCTTGCACACAGCGGACCCGGGTTCAATTCCCAGCATCCCATATGGTCCCTGAGCACCGCCAGGAGTAACTCCTGAGTGCAGAGCCAGGAGTAACCCCTGTGCATCGCCACATGTGACCCCAAAAAAAGCAAAAAAGAAAATGAATGAACCAGTTATATGGGACATGGTTCCTCAGTAGTTTCTCTACCTGCCTCCGAACGTGTATATCCTTCATGTTATCGCAGGAGTAATATTGTTGAATGCAGACCTGAGCCGGTGACTCCTCGCTGCCTTCTCGTGCTTTCTTGGTATTGGCGGGTCCAGCCTCCTTAGCACGGCAGCCGGGTTCCAGCCGTTGTCTCCTGTGTCCCTTTGGTTCCAGCCACTCTGGGAGAGGTGTCATAGTCCAGACATGTCCTTCTCTTTCATCCCTAGCACCAGTGCTTTGCTCAGATCTTTTCTGCTCCCTCGACCCAGACATGTGCCTTTCGCCGTGGAGTTTTCTTTCCCCTCTGTGCCTGTGCACCACCATGCATGTCTCCTGGAAGCCCTGCAATTGTCCTCTCTGGAGGTCAGCCACACACACTACCTCTCCCTCTGAGTGGTGCTCTGCTCCTGGGACGAGACTGAGTGCCTGAGATTAAGACTGG